GTTTAGGGTTTAGGGTTTAGGGTTTCGGGTTTAGGGTTTAGGGTTTAGGGTTCAGGGTTTAGGGTTCAGGGTTCAGGGATATTGAGCAACCTAGCTCAGGCTACCTTGAGGGCCCTTCAATAGGTCGACCTGGAGCGGTTTAGGGTTTAGGGTTTGGGGTTTGGGGTTTGGGGTTTGGGGTTTGGGGTTGGGGGTTTGGGGTTGGGGGTTTGGGGTTTGGGGTTTGGGGTTTGGGTTTGGGGTTTGGGGTTTGGGGTTTGGGGTTTGGGGTTTGGGGTTTGGGGTCTTACTTGAAGGGTTTGGCGGCTTAGGGTTAAGGAGGTCCAGGGTTTAAGGTTTAAGGGGTAGGCCTTAGGGCTTTAGATGGTCCCGGGTCCAAAATTTAGGGTTTTAGGGTTTTAGGGCTTTAGGGTTTAGGGTTCGGGCAAGGCCTACTTGAAGGTTCCATGGGCACGTACACATGAACCTCCAAGCATGGCTTCCGTTTCAGGGCTTGGGGTCTGGCGGCAGAGAAGGAGGGCATGTCATGTCAGAGCGTTGAGGGTTTAGGGCTTTCAGGATTTTTATCGACCACCTCAATCCATTCCCCCCCCCCCCCCCACCACCACCCCCCGCAGCTAGGGAGGGAGGAGCTCTTGGCACGACCCCTAAACCCTAAACCCTAAACCCTAAACCCTAAACCCTAAACCCTAAACCCTTTCGGCTCAAGAGCCAAATGCAGAGAACTTCTTGTTGCTCTGGGCGTCGTTGAGGCATGTTTAGGGGTTTTTGGTGTTACGGGTTCAGGGTTCACGGTTTAGGGTTTGGGGGGGAGGCTTAGGGCTGAGGGTTTAGGGTTTGGGGCGCTGAGAGCCCGGCGCTTGGTACTGCCCCTCAAGGAACTTCGCTAGTCCCTGGGATTTTGTGCACCCTCGCCACGAAGGGCCGAAGGGTTTCGGGTTTTCTGGGTTTGGGGTTGAGGCTTTCTTGAGTTTAGGCTTTGGGTTCAGCGTTTCCTTGAGCTTGGGCTCTAGGGCTTGGGACTGTTCAGGGAATTGTTTTCTTGCAAACGTTCAGTACCCAAGCAAGCTGCACGTCCTACCCACCCAAACCACCCAACTCACTAAACCCTAAACCCTAAACCCTAAACCCTGAACCCCAAACCCCCTAAACCCGAAACCCTAAACCCTAACCCTAAACCCTAAACCCACGGGCGCGCCTGCAGGAATTTGGGGTGGCCCAACATGTATGCGCCGTTCACCTCCCAGCGGCAGGCCGGCTCTAAAGCGTATGGGAACTAAGCTCCTCCCCCGAATAGGATTTAGGGTTTAGGGTTTAGGGTTTAGGGTTTAGGGTTTAGGGTTTAGGGTTTAGGGTTTTAGGGGTTTAGGGGTTTAGGGTTTAGGGTTTAGGGTTTAGGGTTTAGGGTTTAGGGTTTAGGGTTCAGGGTTCAGGGTTAGGGTTTAGGGTTTAAGGGCTTAGGGTTTACCAAGAAGCTAGAAAGCAGCAGGGAACGTGCCCTAAACCTTGGAGGCTTGCAGGAACCGCTAGGACAGGGGCTCACGTTTCGTTCACCGGCAGGGTAGCGAGCGTCCCTAAGCCCTAAACCCCAAAGCCGGAACCCCAAAACCCTAACCCCTAGACCTTGAACCCGGAGCCCTCCCGGGATTCCAGCTGCATCGCCGTAGTTCAGCGACTGGTCAGACAGCTCAAGGCCTTCGTCTTAGGGATGTTGGTATAGGGTTCAGGGTCCAGGGTTCAAGGTTCAGGGTTTAGGGCTTAGGGTTTGAAGTTTAGGGATTTTGGAGTGTTCGGTCCGGTCCCCTCCAGCCTGGGCTGCCCAAGAATACGGGGGCACCCTTATGTTTAGGGGATGCCTAAGTTAAGAGGGTCCCATGATTTCGTAAAGTTCGGTTGTTCTTCTCTGGGCTTTGAACTTGCTGTCCAGTGGTTGGCGGAAGGATTTGAGGGCTCGGGAGGACTCAGCCAACCCTAACCCCAAAGCCCAAAAAAAAAAAAACAAACCCAAAACCCTAAACCCTAAACCCCAAACCCTAAACCCCAAACCCTAAACCCCAAAACCCCAAACCCTAAACCCTAAACTCCTCAACGCCCGCGCGCCTTTCTTGAAGCTCTCGGTCAAGGCCGCCCTCAGCTCGGCTCTGCTGAGGAGCTCGGGATGCGGCCTCGGGGCGTTCTCTTCTCAAGAAGGAAGCCTTAACGGGTTTAGGGTTTAGGGTTTAGGGTTTAGGGTTTAGGGTTTAGGGTTTAGGGTTTCGGGTTTAGGGTTTCGGGTTTAGGTTTAGGGCTTAGGGCTTAGGATTTAGGGCTCAGGGCCTCAGGGTTCAGGGCTTAGGGCTTAGGGTTCAGGGTTCAGGGGTTTTAAAAATTATAACCCTAAAGCTGCCACCCAACGACGAATGCAGCTCAGGCCCGCGCCAGCCCTTAATGAAGTCCTGCGCCTGAGGGGCCTCGGTCGCCCAAAGAACTTACTGGTTTAGGTTTAGGGTTCAGGGTTTAGGGTTTAGGGTTTAGGGTTCAGGGTTCAGGGTTCAGGGTTTAGGGTTTAGGGTTTAGGGTTTAGGGTTTAGGGTTTAGGGTTTAGGGTTTAGGGTTTAGGGTTTAGGGTTTAGGGTTTAGGGTTTAGGGTTTAGTATTTAGGGGCTTTATGGTTTAGGGTTTAGGGTTTAGGGTTTAGGGGTTAGGGTTCAGAGTTATGATCGTCCGTCTTTACATCGGCACAGGGAAAAACCACGTTTGGTTTAGGGTTCGGTTCCCAGTTGGGAATGAGGGTTGAGGGTTGAGGGGTCTATAGGGCTCAGAAACATTAGGGTTTGGGGTTGAGGGTTAAGAGTTGGCTTAGGGATGCTTAGACCCTCAAGAGTTTAGGGTTTAGTGTTTAGGGTGTAGGGTTTAGGGTTTAGGGTTTCGGGTTAGGGTTTAGGGCACCCTACATCCTAAACGTCCGTGAGTTTTATTGAACTTTCAAGGGTTTAGGGTTTAGGGAATAGGGTTAAGGGTTGTAAGTGAAATAGTAAGGGGTTCAGGTCCGGGGAGGTGTCGAGGAAAGTTTCGAGGAAAGCTTCCCGGAGTTTTGAGGAGTTTCTTCTTTCACTTTAGATACAGGGGCGTGAGGGTTTAGGATTTAGGGATCGTAGCAATCCACCGTTCTAAGGATCTTGGAGATGACTTCCCAGCCTTTCTTTAAGAAAAATCAGGGTTTAGGGTTTAGGGTTTGCGGTTTGGGGTTTAGGGTTTTGAGGCTGTGGGTTTGAGGTTTGGATTCTCTTGGCTCCTGTTCCTAGGGCTCAGGGTTGAGGGGCTGAGGCCCTCAGAAGCCCCCTGCAAAAACCCCAATCTCACATGGCCGTTGAGGAGGCCGCACCACCTTTCGCGTAGCCAGCCTTGGCGTTGCGGAGCAGCGCGGGGGCAGCGGCCCAACCCGCAAGCTCAGAGAGTCTAGGGGTTCAGGGCTGAGGAAACCTGTTTTAAGTTTTAGGGTTTAGGGTTTAGGGTTTAGGGTTTAGGGTTTAGGGTTTAGGTTGAGGGTTCAGGGTTTAGGGTTCAGGGTGAGTCTAGGGGTTGAGGGCGGAGAAAACCTGATGTTTCAGTAATGTTGCTGCGTGAAGCGCTCTGGGGTCTCAGCGGGCAAGTTTGGTCGCAAGCCAACCGCCGGCTACAGCAACGCGCACATCTGTTGTAACACTTAGCTCATGCGAAGCACTCAGAGTTCTATGTGCCCTCACATAGCTGTAACCCCGCCTGTCGTTGTGATACCCTAAACCCTAAACCCTAAACCCTAAACCGCTGCATGAGGCCTCATGGTCCAGATCAAAACCACACCAACGTTATAAAGTGTCTCAAACCACTCCCCAAACAACCCAACTCCTCCCGCTCAAGCCTGAAAAGTTTGGGGTTTAGGGTGTAGGGTTTGGGGATTAGGGTTTAGGGTTTAGGGTTTAGGGTTTAGGGTTTAGGGTTTAGGGTTTAGGGTTTAGGGTTTAGGGTTTAGGGTTTAGGGTTTAGGGTTTAGGGTTTAGGGTTTAGAAAGCCCAAGCATCCGAGGCTCAGCCTCCAACATGCCCTGGACCGCGCCCCAAAATCCCGAAATTCAACCGCCGAAGCCCTGAAACCGAAGCTGCCAACCTCAACCCGATAAATCGCCCGTAAACCCTAAACACGACAAGCCCTAGAAATTGCCGATAAACCGCCTTTAAATCCCCGACAAACCAATAAACCCTACGCCCTGAAGCCCAAAAACCCTGCCCTAAACCCTTAACCCTAAACCTTAAACCCTAAACCCCAAACCCTAAACCCCAAACCCCAAACCCTAAACCCCAAACCCCAAACCCTAAACCCTAACCCCACGGGGCCCCGAGCCATGGTCCAAAAAGGCGCCCCGTCGAAACTCGGAGCTCCGCTCCGAAGAAAAATTCCAAAATCTGTGAGCCAGAGAAACCGCGGCCGGGGAGCCCTAAACCCTAAACCCCAAACCCTAAACCCCAAACCCCAAACCTCAAACCCTAAACCCTAAACCCTATATAAACCCTAACCCCTAAACCCTAAACCCAAACCCTAAACCCTAGACCCTAAACCCTAAAGTACCCCCAGTTTCAGACGCTGGGTGTGCGGTGGCATGACGGTGGCCGGGTTAGGGCCGCGGGCGGTTTTATAAGGCTTGGGGGGTTTCCTGCTTAGGGTTCAGGAGTATCATGTACGAGTACTGGGGAGGGTATGTTCGGGCTCTCTTGGGAAATTCTGTCTTTCTGCATTAACAACAAACAAGGCATCCCCGAGTAGACCAGCGATTGGGCTTCCGGGCCTTGAATTTAGGGTTTAGGGTTTAGGGTTTAGGGTTTAGGGTTTAGGGTTTAGGGTTTAGGGTTTAGGGTTTAGGGTTTAGGGTTTAGAGTTTAGGGTGTAGATGCCTACAAAGCACAAAACATGAACCGTCCAAACCACCGAAAATCCTACGCAGGGCCATTCTACCTTACACAGGACCGCCAACGTCGATTTTGGAGTCAGGTGCATCTCTGGCGCTTGCTGCTCTCAGGAGAGAGGTTGATCTTGACATGCGCCTCTGACTGGCTGGTTCTTAGTAGGGAATGAAGGAATGAGGGCCTTAGATAATCCCTTGAAGGGTATATATATATATATGTATATATATATAGGGCCCTCAGTCCCTCACTACTAAGAACCAGGGGGCTGATGTTTCAGGAGTGAGAGCATCAGGGTTTTGAAGCTTCCAGGGTGTAGGATCTTGGGTTTTGGGGCGGCTCAGCGCTGCAAACCCTAAGTCCTAAACCCTAAACCCTAAACCCTAAACCCTAAACCCTAAACCCTAAACCCTAAACCCTAAACCCTTTTGGTTTGTTGGCTTTTGCTGCTGTTGCTGCTGTTGTTTTAGGGGGGGGCAAGGGGTTTAGGAGTCGGAGTTGAGGTTCTCAAGGGTTTAGGGTCTAGATTTCAGGGTTGAGGGTTTAGGGTTTAGGGTTTCGGGTTTCGGGTTTCGGGCTTCGGGCTTCGGATCTTTTAAGGCTTAGGGTTGGTGTAGGGTTTAGATTTCGGGGTTTAGGATTTAGGGTTTCGGGTTGAGGGTTTAGGGTTTAGGGCTTAGGGCTTAGGGCTTAGGGTTCTTTAAGGCTTAGAGTTTAGGGGTTGGGGTTTAGGGGCTTCAGGGCTTAGGTTTCAGAGTTTGGGGCTTCAGGGCTGAGAGGCATCCGGGATGAGAGCCTCTGTTTACGGGAGCTGGTCGGCTGAACGCAATACAGTGAAGACATGCCTCCCGCTGTGGGCTTCGGCTTTAGGGTTTAGGGCCTAAACCCTAAACCCTAAACCCCAAACCCTAAACTCAACACCCGAAAAGGATCGAGCCCCGTAAAGGTATAACGCGAGTGCCTGGTCTTTGCGCTTTCACATCTCAAAATTCCAGGCTCCCATCTCGGACCTGCTGTTGGCCTAAACCCTAAACCCTAAACCCTAAACCCTAAACCCTAAACCCTAAACCCTAAACCCTAAACCCTAAACCCTTGAAGCCCTGACCGGGCACTGACGAAGCCCGGAGAGGCCCTGGAACGGGAAGAGAGCACCCAGTAGCGCGAAGCGTTATGGCCAGCCGGTCCCTGAAAGTGGCGACGCGCCACCGAAGAGGGACCCTTAGTAACAAGACAGTTTTGGGGGGGGGCTATGCTGATATACAGGGGCCATAAGGGGATATGAAGTAGGGTTTCTATTTCTTGTACCCCCAAAAGGACACCCGGTATATACACTCACCAAGATTATGAAGGAACCTTATATACACTCACCAAAAACAGTAATATATACCCTGCTTCATCTCATTAAAGCAGCTATTCCGACCCCTATGTATAGTACTCCTCCCCAGAGAAAGGAAGCCCAACTGGAGCACCTCGCCGCAGGGTAGTCTGGAAGTTAGCTGAGAGGTTGGAGGTTTAACTTCAGGGTACGAGGATTTGACACGGCCTAAGCCCTAAACCCTAAACCCTAAACCCCAAACCCCAAACCCTAAACCCTAAACCCTAAAGGGTTTGAAGCCTTCACGACTCAAGGGCTTTAAGGCTTGCCTTAAGGGTATAAGGAGGGACCGCTAGAATGGACCCTTAATCTCATTCCCCTACATGACCCCTTCATATACCTTATACAGTCCCTAAACCCTAAACTCTAAACCCTAAACCCTAAACCCTAAACCCTAAGTAGCCCCCAAAAACCCCTAAAGAACCCCAAAGGTCCCTTGTAAGGGCCCCTCCTTTAGTTCCTTGAGGCTCGGGGCCCCCTAAACCCTAAACTCTAAACCCTAAACCCTAAACCCTAAACCCTAAACCCCAAACCCCAACCCCTGAACTTGCGGGCTTCAGGGCTGAAAGCCCTAAACCCTGTCCGCCTCCTGGTCCGTGACGCTCAGGTGCAATTCAAGGGCCGACCCCTCCTGCAGGTCCAGGGGCTCCTGGCGTCAGGGGTTTAAGGTTTAGGGTTTAGGGTTTAGGGTTTAGGGTTTAGGGTTTAGGGTTTAGGGTTTGAGGTTTAGGGTCTAGGGTCTAGGGTTTAGGGTTTAGGGTTTAGGGTTTAGGGTTTAGGGTTACCTCCCATTTTGGTCTGCTGCGTCATAAGAGGGATTCTCTAAGTTAGGTTCCTTCTTGGGGTTACGATTCTAAGGCGGCCCGGAAGATTTAGGGTTTAGGGTTTAGGGTTTAGGGTTTAGGGTTTAGGGTTTAGGGTTTAGGGTTTAGGGCAAAAAGGGGCCTCAATGTTCAGAACTGACCATAAGAGCACGTTATTAGCTCGGATCGAGGCATGTGCTTTGGAATTTGGGGGACTTCATGTGTGATCTATAGGAGTTCTATAGGCATTGCAAGTCCTAAACCCTGACACCTAGTGCTCAATCCGAAGTCCTAATTCCTGATTCCTCAAAGCCTAAGCCCTAAACCCTAAATTCTAAAACCTAGATCCTGGGATATTCTCCCTTATACCAGCAGTCCTTCGTAGGGATTAGAAGAGGGGGCTACTCTAATCCCTCTTAAGGACTGTTAGTATAAAGGGGAACATCCCAACCTAAATCCGACATCCTAAAACCTAAACCCTAAACCCTAAACCCTAAACCCTAAGAACCTGAGTCCTAAATCCGCATCCTCAATCATCCCAGAAGGCCCCAGGGCGGCACCTGAACCGCCTCTGAACCCTAAACCCTACCTAAACCCTAAACCCTAAACCCTAAACCCTAAATCCTAAACCCTAAACCCTAAATCCTGAATCCTAAACCCCTAAATCCTGCGTTCTAAAGGATGGGTCAAGCCGAGGGTTTAGTGTTTGGGGTTGAGGGTTGAGGGTTGAGGGTTTAGGGTTTAAGGTCAGGGTTTAGGGTTTAGGGTTTGGGGTTCGGAGCACACGAATTTCGTTAGGGATAAGAGCCCTAAACCTCCTAAACCATAAACCCGAAACCCAAACCCCCAAAATGCCCTAAACCTGAAGCCCTAAACGCACAGAGAAGGGCCCGCCGGGCCTGTGTTCTTACACAGACTTGTCTGCAGGGTTTGGGGTTAGGGTTCAGGGTTCAGGGTTTAGGGTTAGAATGCAAAACTTTCCGCGGTTCACAGCCCTACAGACCTAAATCATCTCAACAAAACACTAAACCCTAAACCCGAAACCTAAATCCTAAACCCGAAACCCTAAACCCCTAACCCTAAACCCGAAACCCTAAACCCTAAACCCAAACCCTAAACCGTAACCCGAAACCCTAAACCCTAAACCCCAAACCCCAAACCCTAAACCCTAAACCCTAAACCCTAGACCCTAAACCCTAAACCCTAAACCCTAAACCCCAAACCCTAAACCCGAAACCCTAAACCCTAAACTTCTAAACCCTAAACCCTAAACCCCAACCCGAAACCGTAAACCCCAAACCCCAAACCCTAAACCCTAAACATCCTCGAGCAGGTGCAAGGCTTGGCTCCAGCCCGTGGGCACGCTGAAGGAGGGACCTCCAAAGGCTTCGAGGTTTTGGAACCCTTCAAAGGATTATAGGGTTTAGGGTTTAGGGTTTGGGCTTTAGGGTTTAGGGTTTAGGGTTTAGGGTTTAGGGTTTAGGGTTTAGGGTTTAGGGTTTAGGGTTTAGGGTTTAGGGTTTAGGGTTCAGGGTTTTCGGGCTTAGGGTTCAGGCTTCCGGGCTCAGGGTTTAGGGCCCTAACCCTAAACCCTAAACCCCAAAACCTAAACCCTAAACCCTATACCCTATGTCATACCCCTTGACTTAAGTTTAGAGGGCTTCGGGGGTTAGGGAGTCGGTGGCTTCTTGGGGTGGCTTTGGCCTCCCGTGGACCTTTTTGGGAATCGACGACGGCCTTTTGGGGGGGCTCCATATGCCTTCTCGGGGGCGTTCCGGTTTAGGGTTTAGGGTTTAGGGTCTAGGGTCTAGGGTCTAGGGTTTAGGGTTTAGGGTGTAGGGTTTAGGGTTTAGGGTTCAGGGTTCAGGGATTAGGGTTAGGTTTAGGGTTGTTGTGGAGTTTGGCACTTGTTTGCCAGGCCCTCTTGGGGGCCTTCGAGGTTTGGGTCCGGGGCCTTTTCGGGGGCCTCCCATCCGTGCACCTTTTTGGAACTTTCTGGACGCAAGCTTCCGTCCTCCTTGGGCCTTTTCTGGCCTCCCGAGGGCGCTTTTGGTGATGTACTTAAGCTCGGCTTGTGAGCTGATTAGACAAAATAGACAAGCAACTTGGGAAATTCACGATGATGTCACATACAATTTCTACTTATCTTGTCGTGAGGTTTAGGGTTGAGGGTGTAGGGTTTAGGGTAGGGTTAGGGTTTAGGGTTTAGGGTTTAGGGTTTAGGGTTTAGGGTTTAGGGTTTAGGGTTTAGGGTTTAGGGTTTAGGGTTTAGGGTTTAGGGTTTAGGGTTTAGGGTTTAGGGTTTAGGGTTTAGGGTTTAGGTTTAGGGTTTAGGGTTTAGGGTTTAGGGTTTAGGGTTTAGGGTTTAGGGTTTAGGTTTTAGGGTTTAGGGTTTAGGGTTTAGGTTTAGGGTTTAGGGTTTAGGGTTTAGGGCTTGTAAGGGCTTCGGGTTTACAGATTCCGCCTACGCCCACCCTCAACCCCCTGACTCGTTATAAGCCATGCTGGGACCTTCTGTTTATTCAGGGTTTAGGGCTTAGGGCTTGGGGTTTAGGGTTTAGGGTTTCGGGCTTAGGGTTTAGGGTTTAGGGGTTAGGGTTTAGGGCCGGGTTTAGGGTTAGGGCGTCAAATTCCGAGCTTCAGTCAAGGTCGCTGAGCTGGATTCGTTGTCAGGGTTTGGGGTTGAGGGCTGTGGCATTAGGGGGAAGTGACTGTTGAGAACTTCCGCCCTGAAGCAGCTCCATCGAAAGACCCGTTGCAGAGTTACGTGTACTGAGAAGCTTTACTTGCTGCACGTTCTTCAGCTGTCGCCGCCACATCCAGCGTTGCCCCAAGTCACCACAGATCCATCAGCCTGGATCGCAGCAAACGACCCGAACGAAGCTTGCACCTGGTGCACGTTCTTCAGCTCACCTCGTACGCTGCTGCTGTCGCCGCCAAAAGCAGCATCGCCCCAAGTCACCACAGAGCCATCAGCCCGGATCGCAGCAAACGCCGCAGATGAAGCTTGCACCTGCTGCACGTTCTTCAGCTCACCGTGTACGGTACTGCTATCGCCACCAAATGCAGCATCGCCCCAAGTCACCACAGAGCCATCAGCCCGGATCGCAGCAAAAGCACGTGAAGAAGCTTGCATGTGCTGCACGTCCTTCAGCTCACCGTGTACGGTACTGCTATCGCCACCATGCGCAGCACTGCCCCAAGTCACCACAGATCCATCAGCCCGGATCGCAGCAAACGCCTTTGAAGAGGCTTGCACGTGCAGCACATTCCTCAGCTCACCTTGTACGGTACTGCTGTCACCGCCAGATGCAGCATCGCCCCAAGTCACCACAGATCCATCAGCCCGGATCGCAGCAAACGCCTTTGAAGAAAATTGCACCTGCAGCACATTCCTCAGCTCACCTTGTACGGTACTGCTGTGGCCGCCAAATCCAGGACTGCCCCAAGTTATCACAGAGCCATCAGCCCGGATCGCAGCAAACGCCGTAAAAGAAGCTTGCACCTGCTGCACGTTCTTCAGCTCACCTTGCACGGTAGCATTGCCCCAAGTCACCACAGATCCATCAGCCCGGATCGCAGCAAACGACCCGAACGAAGCTTGCACCTGCTGCACGTTCTTCAGCTCACCTCGTACGATGCTGCTGTCGCCGCCAAAAGCAGCATTGCCCCAAGTCACCACAGAGCCATCAGCACGGATCGCAGCAAACGCCGCGAAAGAAGCCTGCACCTGCTGCACGTTCTTCAGCTCGCCTTGTATGGTACTGCTGTCGCCACCAAATGCAGCATCGCCCCAAGTCACCACAGAGCCATCAGCCCGGATCGCAGCAAATGCACGTGAAGAAGCTTGCACGTGCTGCACGTCCTTGAGCTCACCTTGCACGGTACTGCTGTCGCCACCATATGCAGCATCGCCCCAAGTGTTTACAGATCCATCACCCAGCAGAAAAGCCCAGGCAGCTTTGGTTTCATGCACTCCCCAAAAGAACTTTGAAGTTTTCGCTCGTACCTCTCCCACATGCAGGGTCAGCACGTCGTTGTCTCGCAAGCCTGTTTCCTTGACAGTGCCCCCGGCCAGAGCATCTCCAGAGGTTGTCAGCAGCTTTCCCTTGCCCACGCCCAGAGCACTCTGGGCCATGTGCCTCAAGCAGTCAATGGAGACGTCCGGCTCTATTTCCAAAGCAACACTCCGGCCACTGAGGAGGTGCACGTGAACTGACATCGACATGGTGCTGCCTGAATCGCCCCTTGCGGTCTTGGCGATAGGTGAGGTAACTGTAGTTAAGCTAGGTAGCAAGTTGAGGTTTGAGCCCTAAACCCTAAACCCTACACCCTAAACCCCACAGCATGAAACGCTAACCTCAGAGGATCTCTATGAGGTTCGGGTGGCGAAGGTTCCTCCCAGAACCATGGACGACAAGAGTTGCCCCTTTCTTTGTCTACATGTGTTTTTGTTAAAGGAACCTTACCCCCTGAACAAGGGGGAAGAAAGGTGGTCCTAGTGCTGGTACAAGTAGCGGAGCTGTAGCCAGCCAAGCAAGGCTCATGGAATCTCACCTAGGAGCTGCCTGTCATTCGCCTTCGAGCAAGACCCGAGCAGCAAGTCCCCCCAAAACCCTACACCCTACACCCTAAACCCTAAACCCTAAACCCTAAACCCTAAACCCTAAACCCTAAACCCCGAACCCTAAACCCTAAACCCTAAACCAAAGCTCGGCCCCCTAGTTCATGGCCCCAGGTAGCTCTGAAAGAGCCCGCAACCCCTAAGCACCAAGATTCTCAGGGTTGTAAAGGTTTCTAGGGTACCAAGGTACTTGTACCAGGTGGGGCTTATAGATCCTAAACATCTCAAGCCTTTGTGAGGGAAAATCGCCAGGCGGAAACACTAAGCCGCCTTTACCAAAGACTACAAAGCCATGAGCCCTCAGCCCTAAAAGTCCTAAAAACACCTTAGGCCCAAACCCTAAACCCTAAACCCTAGACCCTAGACCATAAACCCTAAACCCTAAACCCTAAACCCTAAACCCTAAACCCCAAACCCCAGACCCTAAACCCCAAACCCTGTCCCGTGCTCGGCATGGGCCTGTGCTCAGACGAGCTGACTCAATCTCGAACTCGGCCCACATTGCAATCCCATGGCACCTCCAGGTTTAGGGTTTAGGGTTTAGGGTTTAGGGTTTAGGGTTTAGGGTTTAGGGTTTAGGGTGTAGGGTTTAGGGTTTAGGGTTTACGGTTTAGGGCTTAGGGACCTCCAGGTTTAGGGCGTTTCTTGGTGTTGTTGGGGCTCTTTGGGTTTTGGGGCTTTTAGGGCCTTTTAGGGCCTTTTAAGGCCTTTTAGGTCTTTTAGGGCTTTCTAGGGCTTTTTCGGACTTTTTAGGTGTTTTAGGGTTGACTCCCGCGAAAGATGAGCCCGTAAACCCCAAAACCCTAAACCCTAACGCCTTGAGCTCTGCACCCCTGAACCGAAGGTTGCTCTTGACTTAGGCTTTCGGCTTTAACGCACAGGCGCAGAGTTTGACCCTCAACTCCAGGTTTAGGGTCTAGGTCTAGGGTCTAGGGTTTGAGGTTTACGTTTAGGGTTTGGGGCTAGGGTTTAGGTGTAAAGGGTCTAGGGCTAGGGTTTAGGTTTAGGGTTTAATTAGGGCTAGGGTTTTGAGGACTAAGCCCCACCTAGCGTTAGCGCTTTGTTCGCTCTTGGGTCTCTTCGCGCCTCGACCCTACATCCATGCACCCGCAAGTCAGGGCTTGAGAGCACAAAAAAATGTTCGATAAGTACAGCAGTATATTGACATGGTTAATAATGATAATATATATATATACATGTATATATATATATGCATTCGTATACACAAGGCATAGTGCAACAAAGTGCAAAGAACTTGAGGGGCAAAGCCGAGAACAACGAAAGCTGGCCTGGATCCACGCCCTGGTGGATTGCTTTATGCCTTCTACGCACCAAGGAGACAGTACGACCGCAACCCTAAACCCTAAAACCTAAACCCTAAACCCTAAACCCTAACCCTAAACCCTAAACCCTAAACCCTGACCGCGATCTATAGCTGACGATCCCGTAATCCACATGCTGAAGAGACCATGAGCTCATAGAGGTCGCGATCTGGACCTCAAGAGCTACCCAAAACCCTTAAAACCCTAAACCCTTAAAACCCTAAACCCTTAAAACCCTAAACCCTTAAACCCTAAACCCTTAAAACCCTAAACCCTTAAACCCCTAAACCCTTAAACCCTAAACCCTTAAAACCCTAAACCCTAAACCCAAAACACGCTGCGGACGTCACGTTTGGAGCAACATGCGCTCGCGGAGACAGCGATCCCGGTCCGCGGAGCTGAGACGAAAAGAACCCTAAACCCTAGTTAAACCCTAAACCCTAAGCCCTAAGCCCTAAGCCCTAAGCCCTAAGCCCTAAGCCCTAAGCCCTAAGCCCTAAGCCCTAAGCCCTAAGCCCTAAGCCCTTAAGCCCTTAAGCCCTTAAGCCCTAAGCCCTAAGCCCTAAGCCCGCCCTCTGTCTGGAGCGTAACGCTCAAAGATACCCTGTATCTTGAAGTCTTCCCTCTTATACTAGCAGGGTTTAGGGTTTAGGGTTTGGGGTTTAGGGTTTAGGGTTTAGTCTTTCATAGGGATTCTAATACCCCCTATTTTCATCCCTAATCAGGACTGTCAGTATCAGGGGAAACATCCCAACCTGTATGTGCTATTGATTGGCCTAGACCGAATTGTCGATTGCACCTGTTTTTTTTTCGGCATATGCATGCGCTCACACCTCAGAGAATACGCTCTCATACCGACCGCGATCTATAGGCAACGACCGCACATCTATCGCCACCCCCCCCCCTCTTACCGAGAAAATTCGCTGAATGGCGAAGCCCTCCCCCCGCTTTGCCTGATAGAGTCAGAACGCCGCCCTCTCTTTCCCCCACTTTACCTCACAGATTTCACAAAGCCCCCTCTCTTTTCCTTCCATTTTCCGTCGACATCAGGTCAAACGCAGCGAGCCCTGGTTTGGACCGGTTCCTTGCTAAAGCAAGCAGAACTGAAGCCCAGCTACGCTAGCTCTGGTGGTAATGATATGTTAGTATAGAAGGATAACAACACAAAAAATCTAAAACTATAGAATGATGATAAATGGTATTAAGAGTACCAGAATATCAGAACATAAGAACACAGTAACATATTAAGATTCTAACAGAATAACATATGTCCGTGTCCTTGAAGGTTCACGGGTAGTTGCAAGTAAGGTTCTAAGATCCCCAAGTGGAGTAAAAACCAGCTATAAGCTATACTGCAGGGTTCTTAAGGGACGGGGCTTCAAGGTTGGCATGTTACCCCAAGGTTCCCTAATGCTTCCCGCTACTCCCGAAGGCTCCTAAGCTTCCATAAGGCTCGCTAGGTACCTAGCCCCCATGATCCCCCTCCCTGAAGAACCCTATAATATGGCTCGAGCTGCGCCTCCGTTAGACCCATGAACCTTCCTACCCGCCGAACTTCTGGGTTTAGGGTTTAGGGTTAAGGGTCGGAAAGGGTCAACGTTGAGCATAGGCTTAACCTGTACTCGGGTCTAGGAGTTAGGGCTTAGGATTGGGGGTTTAGCCTTTGGGGTTCACGGTTCAGGATGTAGGGTTTAGGGGCTTCGGGTCAGAAAGAGACAAGGTTAAGCATAGGCTTTAACCAAAACCCTAAACCCAAACTCTAAACCCTAAGCCCTAACCACAAGGCGGCACCTGCCCGCAGCATTTGCACCAATCCTGGGCAAAAGTCGCAGAGGGAACAGTCAAGGGTTTGGTTAGGTTTAGGGTTTAGGGCTTTGGGGTACAGGGTTTAGGGTTTAGGGTTTAGGGTTTAGGGTTTAGGGTTTAGGGTTTAGGGTTTAGGGTTTAGGGTTTAGGGCTGAGGGTGTAGCTTCATCAAGGTGAAGATGCCACCCTGAGCTTCGCTGCGTTGCTTTTGCTCTTTCGTGTTTAGGGTTTAGGGTTTAGGGTTTAGGGTTTAGGGTTTAGGGTTTAGGGTTTAGGGTTTAGGGTTTAGGGTTTAGGGTTTAGGGTTTAGGGTTTAGGGTTTAGGGTTTAGGGCATTTGGCACGAACACCACTGCAAAAGCACCGAAAGAGAAGGGCACAGAAGGAATCCCTGAATCCCAAGCCGGATTTGTTACGGGTTTCAGGCTTGAAAGTTTAGGGGCCCTGGGTCCTGGACCTTAAACCCCGAAACCCCCCGCTACCAAACTCACTTATCCCTGAAACCCTAAAGTCCCAAAGGAGCCTAAGCAGCAAAAAACCTTGGGCCGCTAAGGTCCCTGAAGTCCCTAAAGTCCCCTAAACTCCCTACGGTCCCTACCGTGCCTAAAGTGCCCAAAGTCCCTCGAGTCCCTATGCAGACGAAAGTCCCTAAAGTCCGGAAAAATTCTCTATAAAGCCGCCAAAGTGTAAGTACAGTCCCTAAAGCCACTATACATTCCCTAAAGTCCCCTAAAGCCCCTCAGGCCCCCAAAGCCCCTAAAGTAAGCTCCAAATTTTGCCCTAAACCCTCAACCCTAAACCCTAAACGTTGCCCTAAACCCTATACCCTAAACCCTAAACCCTAAAACCTAAACCCTAAACCGTAAACCCTAAACCCTAAACCCTAAACTAAACCTGTCTGAGGTCGGCACCTCATCGCCGACTCGGCTGGGCCGTCGGAGGAGAGGTCGAGGTGAAGGACGCGGCACGGACTGAGCAACTCTAGGGTTTTGGGGTTTAGGGTTTAGGGTTTGGGGTTCAGGGTTTTAGGGTTTAGGGTTTGGGGTTTGGGGTTTAGGATTTAGGGTTCGGGGTTTAGGGGGTTCAGGGTTTTTGGACCCTAAACCCGAAATCTCTTGCATCTGCTTGCGTGTTCGTGCCCAGCACTGTCACTTTTCTTTTGCATGTATTCTGCATGTCTCGGTCGGGCCCCCTTGCAGCGTTTGAGGCACTTTTGAATCTGTCGCAGCCTTCTTGTGTTACCCTAAACCCTAAACCCTAAACCCTAAACCCTCAGAAGCCTTTTGAGAGCCTCGCTGGAGCCATTTCTTGGGGCAACCGCTTTGGAAGCCAAGCCAACACTGCCTACACGGGCGAAGAACTTCAACAATTAAGGTTTGGGGGTTTAGGGTTTAGGGTTTAGGGTTTGGGGGTTTAGGGGTTTAGGGGGGTGTAGGGTTCAGGGTTCAGGGTTTAGGGTTTAGGGTTTAGGGTTTGGGGTTTAGGTCTTGAGTTTGGAGTTTAGGGTTCGGGGCTTAGGTCTTGGAGTTTGGAGTTTTGGGATATTCTTCGTCTTGCAACACCTGGTGATGGGCAGGTCTGCAGCATGGCCTGCTCAGCGCCCGCCACGCCATCTCACACAGGTTGCACCTCGGCACAACGAAGAGGAAGAAATGGCCGGCGGTCTAACATAGACTTTCCCTACACCCTCAACCCTCGACCCTCAACCCTAACCCCTCAACCCTAAACCCTAAACCCTAACCTTGACCCTAAACCCTAAAACCCCAAACGCTAAACCCAAAAAACCCAAACCCTAAACCCTAAACCCCAAACCCGAAAGCCTAAATCCGAAACCCGAAACCCTAAACCCTAAACCCCAACCCTAAACCCTATACCCTAAACCCTGAACCTTAAATCCTGAACCCTCGGGTCGAAGGTCCGGGCTCCAGCGGCCGATTCCGCGCCGGCACAAGGAAGGGGTTGGCCGCCTCGACAAGGGCCGCTGTCAGGGTTTAGGGTTTAGGGTTTAGGGTTTAGGGTTTCGGGTTTAGGGTTTAGGGTTTCGGGTTTAGGGTTTAGAGTTTAGAGTTTGGGGTTTAGGGTTTAGGGATTTTCAAGGGGATTTAGGCGTTTGAGGCTCAGGGTTTGGGAGTTTTGGGCTTACGGTTCAGGATTGCAACATACAGCTCATACAGTGGCAGTTGAATCGAGAAAACTAGGACTAGCCAGGAAGCATTGTACAGACCCAATAAACGGCTATTTCTGTCTGGGGGGGGGCCGAATCGTAATCATGATGTTCACAGCCTCTTCCGTTGAACTTCTACGGCCTCCTATACCTCAACGGTACTTCTAAACCCTAAACCCTAAACCCTAAACCCTAAACCCTAAACCCTATACCAGGGATGCGTCGACTCGAAGGTGTTCGACGTTGAGGCTTCGGGCGCCCTGGTCGTTGAGGGGTCTCGGGCTTCAAGTGCGTACTATAGCGGCCTGAATAATTAGAAACACCTACACCTCAACCCTAAACCCTAAACCCTAAACCCTAAACCCTAAACCCTAAACCCTTGCACAGCCCTAAACAGCCCTAAACAGCCATAAGCCTGTTGCGGCTCATGCCCCCTTTCTCTTGGACCTTGTACCAAAGGGCTCGTTAAAACTCTTACCCGGGGTCTGAAGCCTCTAGATACAAGGTCTGAACACTCAACCTGCCTCTGGGCTTAGGGTTTAGGTTTAGGGTTTAGGGTTCAGGGTTAGGGTTTAGGGCTTTGGATTTAGGCTTTAGGCTTCAGGGGGTTTCTAGAGACTAAGTAAGGTGCAAGGGTTCCCAACCCCGGTCACCCACCCCAAACCCAGCCCTGCTTTTTTCCACCTTCTTCCACAGTCCCCATTTATAACTGAAAATGTCAGGAGTTTGCCTGTCCCACCGGACCACGTCGCTTGCCGAGTCTTTAGGGTTCAGACTATCCAGGCTGGCAGCTATTTGTGGCTGCTCGCAAGCGGCATGGGACGGATCCTCTGCAGAAGAGAGCACTCAGCAACGCTTTTGCACTATCCCGAAGCTCTAGAACACTAAACCCTAAACCCTAAACCCTGAACCCTAAACCTAAACCCTAGACTCTAAACAACCATCCCAAGAACCTGCAACAACTGTGCCCCAAGCGTCCTGGAGCTCAACGAAAGAAAGGAGTCAGGAGAAAAATCTTCCGCTCCCCCTAGGATTATGCCTCTCCCCGCCCCCAGGGTTTAGGGTTCAGGGTTTAGGGTGTAGGGTTTATAATTAGGGTTTAGGGTTTAGGGTCTAGGGTGTTTAGGGTTTAGGGTTTAGGGTTTGGGGTTTAGGGTTTTTGGTTTTAAGGTTTAGGGTTTAGGGTTGAGGGTTGAGGGTTTAGGGTTGAGGGTCCGGGATGCGCGGAGGGGGTGGGCATTCATACTATGGGGAAGGGTTACTTCAGACTTTCAGTGTCAGGGAAGAGAGCTGGGGTGGATCAGACGTCCTCAGCATTCACTCTCCAAGCAGTATACCTTACCAAAGACAGCCAACAGTCGCAAAAAAGTCATCAGTTCCTCGTAGCACTCAGCAAAAATCGGCGCAAAATTTAGCAAAACGTTCTTCGCGGGAGGACACATTGTGTTCGTGGCGTCGAAGTTCCTTGAGAGTTCGCCCGCCACTGCTAAACAACCCGCGAACGGCCCCATGCACGGGTCGGACCTGTGTCCAATTGGCGAACAGGGCTCCATGCAGCAAGCAAAGCCCGCAGACGGAAGTGTCTCCAAATCTGCCCATTTAGGGCTGCTAGTCAATCCAAGCCCAGTGTTTTCATCGAATTTGAAGGTGCTGCAGTCCACCTTGGGAATGCAACCAAATTGGGTAGGCAAGACAGCCTTCCGAGCCTTGCAAGTAGCCTCCCAACACCATCCACTGCAGCATCTAGCTGTCCGCTTCCCGCATGCATCTCAAAACTGAAGTTGGTCGAGGACTTTGCCCGGGACTGTGCCTGTGTTTGCCGGCAACTGATGGGACTCGTACCCTTAGCGACATGACGTTGAATCATGTGCTGCATTGTTTTGCATGCGTATACGTATACGTGTTCTATGTGTATATCTGTATAGCTGTACAATGTAGGCGTTGATAACGTGTATGCAGATGTGTATATGTGCGGCCGCGTAGGTGTGTAGATAGGAGCTTCAAGAGTGGATCAGGCCAGCAGCGTCCGGCAAAGACCCCCCGATATGGTATCTACACTGATCTACTTCGCTACTTCGCATCTTACTGGTGCAGATGCGAAGAGCTTCGCTCCAAATTTGGAAGACACAGGTTCAGCCGGCAATCCGAAGGTACTCTGCAACAGGCTTGCAGAAAACACAAGGACCCCGTATTCCATTGCTAAGTATCCACATCCATCTTCCAGGCGCCCCCGAAACCCATGCACATACACAGCAACCTAAAGGAAACCTCAGTCGAACAATTTGGGCTCCTGCGTTCAGAATTCGGAAGTCAGGGCACGGCGTTCCATTTCGTGCTTCAGGTTGAGGAATACTCGAAGGTGGTGAGGATTTTTTTGGGTTTAGGCCAGCAGTTTGGTTTACCTCAGCTGTCCTCCAGCGATCTCAGCACAGAGCTTTTGGGTGAGCTGTGCGAACAAAACTTGAGGCCCTCGCAGCACTTCTTGCGCCCTAGTGTTCCGAAAATGTTATCCTGGGAAAGTGCTGTGGAAAGTCAAAGGGAGGTCACTACAGTTGGCAGACAATGCTCAATGCGATGTGGGCAGCTTCGGCTGCCTGGTGACGGTGGTTCTCGACTGCATGACAATAGTGATACTTCTTTTCTGCGTGAAACTTGTTCTATATTGCTGAATGTATATATATATATATATATATATACATATTCATATATACATATGTACATATATATATATGTATGTATGTATGTATGTATATACATATCGTTACATCTTATTTCATATAGCTTCACTCTTATACATCTCACTACATCCTAGGACATCTTACTTCTCCTTGGCTTGATAATCAAAACCACTTCGGAAAACACCGCAAATACCGACGCTTTCCTAGAGCAGCAGTGGGTTCATATGGTTTTGGCTTCCTAGATCAGCAATATTTTCCTGCAATCTGTTTTCCACATGTCCGTGTTGTTTTATGCCAACATTTGCCTAAACGGAATCTGTTTCACGAAAACCGTTTGCGTACGTACGAATCATGGCCCCAGTGGTATTTTCATGATTCAAACGTCAACTGAAAATAACTTAGCATAGCTGGATGTCAGTTTATTAAGTATTCAGATGTACCTGGGGCAAACATGTGCACTAAACTCCTGACACCAGACCTTAATCAAAATGTAGCTCAATATGTTCGTCAACTCAGTGGGCGTTAAAACTACTGAAGCAGCTTGTGGTAGAGTCAGTTGAGTTGCAGTTCCATTGGATTGCCCAATCCAATAGTCTAAATGTGCAAACACAACTGGCCCTTATACTCGTGAAATAAACGCATGAAACTACAACTTGATCAAAAGGTGATTCGAAAGGTTGATCAACTTAATGATGTGGGGCCAGTTGTTTATTGTATTCCGGTTGATTCTGTGACGACTAAATGGTCTCCCATTTCAATGGTATGTTTCTTATTCGATGAACTATACTCCAAGATCAGATCTCCTTTGTTCTATCATGTTGTAGCGTGTTTTTGCTTACGATAGATTAAACTATATGATGATGCATGATTGTGGAGGACAGCATACAAATTATGCATTTCTATATTTGAGTGGAGACTATCTCATATGACTATATACCATTATATAACAATAACCACTCACCCTTTGAAGCCTTGAACACCTCCCCCCCGCCCGCCCCACCATGTTTGGGGCTTTGGGGTCTGTTTGGGATTTGTGGTTTGGGGTTGAGGGTGAGGATTTAGGGAAGACCTCAGAGGTTCGCAGCTTCACCCATCAGCCAGGGATGTGCACGACACCCCATGATGCTCAACCTCTCCGCAGGATCCAACCGGAGCAGTGAGCTAATGATGTCCTGGCCGTGGGGCGTCAGAGAGGTTTAGGCTTTAGGGTTGTTTAGGGTTCAGGGGTTAGGGTTTGGGGTTTAGGGTTTAGGGTGTAGGGTTTAGGAGCTTAGGGGCGGAAACTTAGAGCCTAGAAAGACATGCAAAAACCTCGGCACCCAAAACGTCCAAAACCCCCGAAACCCCAACATTCCTTTCGAAACCTTCAAGCCCCGTGGTCGCCAAAGCGCTCGACACGAAACCCTAAACAATAAACCTTGATTCTAGTCTCGTTTTTCAGGCTGATGACATATTGCTCAATGTTTCGGCTTGTTTCATGCTATTGACCTGTGGAGGCAGCTTCGAGTTTCTTTGCCCAGAATACCAAAATACCTTCCAATTCAGGTCTACAGGATCTCCGAACCTAGGCCACTTTTTGAGAGCCACGTAGTTGATACTTGCTGCAAGTCGCCAAGAATCGGAATGTGCCTGGTAGAGATGTTGGAAAGCTGAGGAGTCCCTCGTCATGCGCTCTACCCAGAAGCCCCCAAACCCCTCAACTCCTAAACCCTACCCGAAGCCCCAGCTTTTCAGGCCAGTTCTCTAACTCTCTGGGCATGCTAAATCTGAAAAGGGAGGTTTGCGGGTTCTTGTAGTAGATTGTTACATGAGACATATGTTCATAGAGTATTACAGAGTGCTGAAAAGCATAGCATTATGATTGTATTCTATGTATATATCTACATGTATAAAATCTGCTTGGAAAGGTCTCTGGGGTGGTTGCATTTCCCCCCTGGCAGGCAAGTGCGGTTGACGAAGAGGCCACCAAAGACCACGTGCATCGCATGTCTGTCCGGGCCCAACACAGCAAATGAGGGGTTTAGGGTTTAGGGTTTAGAGTTTAGGGTTTAGGGTTTAGGGTTTTAAGCCAGCGAGAATGTGGCATGTGGCCTCCACACACCTGACACGTGGTTCGATGTTATGG